GTGTGGAAAACATTCTCGAGCCAGAAAGCATATCCAAGGTGTCATCAATCAGTAGTAGTGGATAACTGTCTTTCTTGGTTACGTTGAGCTGTTGATAATCCACACAAAAACGGGTTTCGCCATCCTTTTTCTTTACCAATACTACCGGTGATGTCCATGAACATGAAGATGACTCAATTATGCCGGTCTCCTGCATTTCGAGGATTATTCGCTCTGCCTCTTCCTTCTTAGCCAGGGCAATCGTCTAGGTTTTTGACGAATAGGCTACGGATTACCGGTATTGATCTTGTGTTTTACGATATTGGTCTTTCCCCTAAAATTCTTGTCAGTCTCAAAGACGTCGGCATTCTGACAAAGTAGATGTTACACATTGCATTTCTGCTCACTGGTTAGATTCCTACAATCTCTGTCAATTACTCCACTTATTTCAACAGGTACTATGTCAGAATTTACCTGCTGTTGATGTCGAGTACTTGGGAAGGAGTACTTTTGCTACACAGCCTCCTCGTATAACGTAGTTCGCCGCAATTCCAACATCTCAGCTTTCGAGTTTCTTTATCGAACTTGGAAATGGTTTGTTATAAAGATTCTGACGAATTCGTTTCTTCATGCAGTAGCCGAACCCATTCCTGTTTACTATAGGCCCGTTTATCAGCTTCGTACTCCAATGCACGAGCCAATGCATCAGCTAGCGTCTTAGGTCGGTCAAGGCGTATTCGTTGTTGAGCGTCACTCTCCCGAAGTCCATCAGTAAATGCCTCCACTGCCAACCTTTGTCTCAATTCTTCTGAAGTATTAGAAAAGGCCAGTCGAGACAGTCTCGCAATATTGGCTTCGAATTCTTGTAGGGATTCCGTTAATGGTAATAGAGTGTCGCTTCTGGGACTCCGGATCGCCTGTCCATCCAGTTCCGACCATCGTCCAGTTCTTCGGCGCCTTTAGAGGTGATTCTTCAGCTGAAGAAGGTCTTTCTTCGGCTGAAGAAGGTCATTTATTCTGCGGCTGTTGAAGGTCATTCTTTAGCCGAAGAGAAAGAAGAAGGTCATTCTTCGGCTAGGCCGAAGAATGCACACACATACACATACACACATGCTCAGGAAACACCCCCTACAACCCCCTTCCATCGTAGACGTCGCTGTTGCTGCAGTTATGGGTGGTTGTAGGGGATGTTTATTAAGCACGTACGTNATAGCATAAGTCTAAATTGCATTTTACGCTTTTTCGACAAGGCAATTACAATTTTTTCAATTACCGTTGAACCGTACAATTTATGTACTACTTCTTTTCTTCTCATGTAATTAGATGTTAAAACAATATTCATTTCTTCCTTTTCATATTCGACTGTTACGGAAAAGATTGAATGCAAGTTTTACTGGTGTTTCGATAACTTCCATTTTGTCAACAATTGTAGTGTACATATTTAAAAGAAACTCGTATATCAATAACAATTGCTAGATTGGAGCATTTACCTAACAAGTATGAGTTCAATTCTACTTTGCAGTATAAGATATTAACAATGTTCCATCAGCCTTCCTTCTGACTTTGCCCATTTTATGTTTATAATGCAAAAAATGTATGAGACTACTAACACATTTTTCTCGGTATCGTCTATCGAGTTGTACCGATTTTGTTTTATTTTTTTTTTTAGAAATGACCTTAACATAAGAAACGAAAGTGCCCGCTTATTTACTTTTACATAACTTCATTTTGTTCATAAACACACTTTTAATAAGATAACAGCATAATAGGTACCTATACATATGTGATATTATATGATTTATTTGTTTTCGGGTAATTATCAGGTACCTTTATCTGTTATCGTTTTTAAGTACGTATGCATACATAGCTACATGTGGATGTATATGCGCTACTTTTAAAGAGATACCTAGGTACCTCATCGAAATTTTGAAAGGTGCCAATCAAATAAAGTTGGCGAATCTTTAGAAAAAACATATACATTTCAACGTTGCCGAAGCAGGCCTTTTATCTTTATCTTTTCATATATGTACACACATGCACTTGTAGGTACAGTACGTATGTATATATGTATGTATATATTATATGCATAATATTTTTTTACTGTATTTGCTCCTCACGTAAACAGTATTCTGTACTTCCACCGTCCTTACTTTTTGTAAATGGACAACACGTTTGTCTATTTTTTCACATATTCTACCACTATTTATGCATGCACCACTTGTTCATAACATTTCATTTTTTGTACTTCTTTACTTACCTTTTTCAAAAATTCTTTCCTGCTTTCTTCTTATGAATGACAAATGATAACAACCAACTTTACATTTTCATATTTTTCAAATACTCTCATTGATAACTACAGACAATTTCTATTTTTCTCTTTACGCGCTTCGCGGTCACGGACGCGACATTTGAACGTTTACACGTGGTATTTCCCGATTTCTTCTCCAATGAAAAGCATTACAAATAAGTATTATTATCGTTACCAATTTTAATAAAAAAATTTTTTGAACGTAGACAACCCTAATCACTGCAGTGCAAATAAAAATAATGATAATATTTTTTATGATCGTAATGCTGTTTTTCATATGCAACCCATTTTACAAAATCTTTAACCGCTGCAACACCGCCATCTGCCAGGTGTAGTCACTACTATTTTGACAGGAGGAGTTAACACCGCATG